AGGCCCGAGCGGCTTAACTGACGTGGGCGTGGCGTAAGCGGCGGGCGTAAGCAGCGTGCGTGAGCGGCGAGCGGGAAATTTGAATTTTAGCCGACGAATCGACGATGGAAAACGTTTTCCATCGTCGATTTTAATCGACTTAATCGAATAATTGTTGCAGCTCTAATATTCTAATTATTCGAGTTTCACCTGTAACTGGTTGTAGACTGCTTAGACTTGGTGACTCTTGTAAAGTCTGGCATTTGGTGCAATTATCCAATGTCTAGCTAGTGTTATTTGGGGTATGTGTGCAAGTGAATAACCAATTGCTGTGTTGTATAAACATGGCAGAGTGCAGCTTTAGGGTCTAGTAACACAACACATTGGTAGCATTAAACATGGACAGTTTTTGATGTGTTCTAATTTGCATTCTTAACAGATTAGCTAAAAAGTCATTTCCATGCTCCAGGAAAATTATAACCCAAAATAATATAGACACCTGCACTCCCAACAGCAGATAGAATACATCTATTTATTGAAGTACATGCAAAAAAAGTAGAACAACTTGTTCTGCCTGAGGAAGGGATCCTATGTGACCGCGAAACGTTGCACTAAGTGTGCTATGCTACTTTTTTTGCATGTACGTCAATAAATAGACATATTCTATCTGCTGTTGGAGTGCCGTTGTCTATATTCTTTTGCATTACTGTGACGGTGGCCATCCGTCGACTACCGAGCACCCGTGTTACTTTGTTGGACGAGTGGTCAGGAGTGCAATGGGTACATGGACTGTAGGAAAATATAACAAACACATTACAATATAGTTACCAAGATATGTCAACGGTCCTCATACACCGGGTATTGCTTGTGGAAGTTCATGTATTTAGTGATATTTTTTTTTTATTTGTACAGTGTTTTATATATAGACAAAAGAAAATGTTTCAAGCTGTTTGAGTTAAATAATAATAATAATATATATATAATGTTTGTTTTTTGTTTTTTTTTGTTCTGGGTTCAGCCACAACCAGCAAGCACAGCTCAGCCTCCAGTTCTTACTACAACTGCTGCAGCACTGGGCCAAGCACCTTCATCTCAAAAACCACCGGCACCAGCAGCACAAGAGACGTTCACAACACATGCGGTGAACAAGAACCCGCAAACAAGAAAGGTGTGTGATCCAACAGATATGACAATAAATGGATGGATGTGTTTTAGTTGCAGCTTGACTAAGTTTATCAGTGGTTCTGTAATACTAATGCTAACTCTCTGATATACTAATTCTTTGTTTACTTTTATCCTAAGTATTTACGTTTAAGTGCCATAAAACATTGCATACCAAGAACGGATTTGGATTCACTCCGTGTCCTTCTAATTGACATGTTTACTGTAAATAATTTCTGTAATTGATGGGTGATTTGGAACGTGTGAGATCTGCCCCTTCACTTTTAGAGGGAGAGGTGCTATTGTGTAGTGCACCTGTCTTAATCTGATACCAAAAATGTCATGCTACTTATGACCAGTAGGGGGGGATAATGTTTTGCAATACACAGTTTGAACTGTATAGTGGGGAAAATGTTTTCTGCATTTCATTACTCAAAAGAAAATCTAATTTATGTAAAGTTTGTGATAAATTAACATTGTACAGCACATGGAACTGTACAACTATGATGTCTAAAACTAGCAAAAATGCCGTTATTATTGTATATGCTGGGAATGTTATTAGGATTATGAGTGGTTTATCTGCATGTGCTAAATCCTGCTTGCAGATCCAGAGAAGAGTCTATTATTTCAGGGATCTGTTAGTACAAAACCTGATGTTAGATAAATGTATTTGTTATCATATAGTGTGGAGGCTGGAGCACACAAATAGACAAAAAATATATTTTCGATACCTAATATGCTAGTTGGTTGTCCAGACAGGCTTTGTAAAGTACGGAACTATGGAAAAGATACAGCTTGCAGGTAAACTAACAAAATGTCATGTTCTTTGTAAGAAGCTGCATTATTGCTCGTGCTGGTTAGTATAGATTACGTCACATCAGTGTACAGAATTCTGTTGCACATGGCAGAAAGACTAATGTAGGAGAAGACTGCTAAAATAAGATATCAGAATCTGGTTTCATTTACAATTCAGACTTTAGACTTTTCTTTCAAACCGTGCAACTTGAACAAAAAGCACATTTATGTAACTCGCTGTTTTAAAAGTATACTTTTTTAATCATTTTGTGTTTACAATGTTAGGGACACCTTTTGATTATTGTTATTGTGTACTTCCTTCACAAATATCTGGAATATATTTTGCTTTTTCTGTCCTGGATAGTAATTGTTCAGTCTACTTGGTTTTTTTTTTCTTGCAGGTTTGTGCTCCGACAACATCGAACAATGTCTTTTCTTATCCGAAAAATCAACAGAATCCAGTTACCACAGTCCCACCATCATTTAACAACAGTGTGTCAACTACATCCCAGCAGACAAGATCACAGCAGGCTGCTCCAGTGCAGAATGGTCCCTCAACAGTTCATGAGGTTAGACATTGATGAAATTATACTTGTGTGTGGATGCAAATTTCTTTTACACATAGCTGTAAAGGCTGGATCATATGTATAATTCTTTGGGGGCCCTGTCCCTTTTTCAGAGTTTGAGAACTGTAAAGAAGGGGACGAACCTCCAAAAATGTTAGTAGTAGCATCCTCTGTGCAATAACCAGAGAAGTCTATTCATTCTGACAGTTAGGGGCTTCTGGGCTGATTTTCCTGTTGGCAGCTTATTGGGCCATGTTGTAGATGAAAGGAGGATTGGTCCGTTTTTGCCTTTTATTGGCGGTATTATATAGAATCACAGGCTTTCATTAGATGGGATAGTGAGTTACCTGGAGTTTTTGTAAGTTCATTTGTTTCTATTTCAATATACGGTATGTAACGAACAGCACAATCCAGCGTATTTCCTGGGATACAGAGTGCAGAGCTTGCACAGATTGCTCAGACACTATTCTGAAAGCGATCTTGAATGTAATTTATGTTGGATATCTAGGTAAGCATATCCTTTTTCTGTTGAAACACTGAATGACCTGTCTAGGAATATTGAATCAATTAGAAGAAGAAAAAATATGGGCTTATGAGTAAAGTGCACAGAGTAAAATCTCTGTACAAATGGAATATTCTAGTTGCAACCAAGATTGAATGTATTGCAAGAGATTATTTCCATTGAGCCAGAGTTAACTTTAGACTTCCTTTTTAACTACCTGCTGTCCGGCCGTTGTAATTAAACGGCCGGACAGCGGCTTCTTGAGGGCGGGTGGGCGTCTTTAGACGTCCGATCCCGTTCCACATGTGCCCGCCGCTAGGCGGCGCGCACGAGCGGGAAACCGGCTTTGAATGTAAACAGCCAGCGATGGCTGTTTACATACAAGCGTTCGGGCGTCTGTAGAGACACGCGATCGCTTGTAATATCTGGTCGTGTGTGCGGTGTGTGTGTGTGTCCCCCGTCGCCGCCGCTGCTGGCGATCCCGGGCTCCACTGTTCCCGGTGTGAGTCCGGGACCAGCACAGCAGCTCTGCGGCCGGAGATCAAACCTAGCTCGGTACACGAGCTCCGCTTGATCTCCTCTCCTCTTCTGAATGCAGGAAGTGATGTGTATTACATCACTGCCTGCATTCAGTGTCACTCTCCAGTACAGAAACCGGAGAGAAGCTGGTGAAGCAGGTCTCTGCTTCATCAGCTTCTCTGGGGGTCCCTAGGTGACATTAGGGGTCTTAAGACCCCTGATGTCTCCATAAAGAGGACCTGTCACTGCAAATTGGCTATCACATAGGAAGCTTGCTTGCTCCCTATGGGATAGTAATAAAGTTCAGTGAAAAAAAGTTTTAAAAAATTTGCTACAAAAAAAATTAAATCACATATCAAAGCAATAAAAAAAAAAACACGCCTACGTGCGAAAACGCTGATTACATCCATTGCGCCGCACATGTTACATATCGCCGCAAACGTCGGAGTGAGAGCAATAATTCTAGGGTCATCAATCACTGATAACACTAAACTGATGAGCGGTAAAAGCTTTTAAAGCATCGGCTAGGGTCAATTTTGAGTATGGTATTTTTTGCGATTTAACGGGTGCGTGCAATTTTAAAGCTTGACATGTTTGGTGTCTACCCGACGTGACCCCCGTCTTTTATATTTTACCCAAAAATTGGGTAATAATAAATGTTTTATAACATAACGTAGGGAGAACAGGTTTTTTTTTCAAAATTTTCGGTACTTTTTTTTATTATACAGTAAAAAAAAAACATGTAGTGGTGATTAAATACCACCAAAAGAAAGCTCTATCTGTCCCCAAAAAAATGGTATACAATTAATTTTCAGTACAGCGTTGCATGACGGAATAAACATCAGTCAAAGTACCGCAGCGCTGAATACTGAAAAATGGCCTGGCCAGGAAGTGGTTAAAGCCTGTCTCTAGAAAAAAGAAAAGAAATTCTCTTGCACTGCAAGGGTGAACTGCTTGTTTTTGTCTAGGGAGAGTCTTGGAAGCAGTTTTACTTACTTGATCCCCGCTCCCATAGCCTTTAAATCTGTTACTATGTAGCTAGCAACATTTTAAATTATTTTCGATACTTAAAGTACACCTGTAAGTTATTAAGGAACAATCTGGCAATCAAATATATATATTTGTAGAGTATAGAGCGTGTGTGCTCTAATATGTGAATGTCAACACTGTATTGATGGCACAATAGAAACGTTTGGAAGGATGGGCTGTCTATGCTGCTGGGCAGTTTCAAAATGTTGGTATTGGAAAACACCAACAAAAACACTGACATGCATGTGGAGCTAAACAAATGTATGTGCAGATGCCTAAGGGTGTCTGCTTTTGATTTCTGGGGCCAATTTAGGGACTTATCCACCATGACAGGTCATTTATTTTGAGAGCATATCTAAGCACAAAAGTGATTTTCATGTTTCAGCATTATAAAGTTATATTAAGACTGGTCATCATTCTAAAGTAGTGCATGAAAATGTATCTTTCTCTTGAAAGTCAGAGTGCTTCCAGAGAGCAGATTAACTTGTGTAACTCATCTTTTTATTTGTTTTCTTTCTGCAGTCCAATTCTACTTCCCCATCCCAGCAGTACATTGTTCGGCATTCTGTGTTCAACAACTCCAGTGCAAAATCAAAAGACCCTCCACGCTATGAAGAGGCCATAAAACAGGCATGTAACTTACAAAAATCTGCTATTACAGGGGTGGGTTCTAGATCAAGCCATCTTATATTCTCTTGTTTCCTCTTATAGGGATGAGAACATATTTGATTGGCCTCAGTAAAATACTGAACATATCTTCAATTTCACATTTTTATCAAGTTCCATTAAGATGAATGATTTCATTTTAAATATGATGAATGTCTAGCCTTACTGTAATGAAAGATGCTGACTTTCTGACCTTTTTTTTTTTTTTGTGGATAATTGAAATGCTATATGCCTAAATCAAGTTTGTATGCTTTTGAAATTAGTTATAGTGCTCTGCCTTTCTAATTGTTCAGATTGTCATGCTGTTTTCATGGACATTGAAATATCCTGGGTTATTTTTGCGACTGGAAATCTACAGTATATAACATAAAATGCCAAATCATGTTCTCCTTATTGATGACATAATGAGTTTTATAAGAATTTTCTCTATACTATGTAGAGGTGCACCGAAGTGATAATTAAAAAAAACTAAATGAAATGCTTTTTCTATTCTATCCTTTTTCAATTTTTTTTTAAATAAACTTTTTAATTTTTTATAATTAATTTTTTAATTTTTGTACTTTACTTTTAGGGGCTTCGGGGGAAATATTAGGGGTCTAAAGACCCTTGATTTTTCCCTTTTTAAAATAGAAAAAGAGAATGATACATCAACATCTCGTGTTTAGGAAAAAAAAGTAAGATTTTACAGTTTTCTGGTGGAGAGCTTTCTGGTTCATTTTGGCCCATATCACCATAGTCAGAATAATTTGCTCTATCGGTTTTCCCTACTGGGTAAAACTCATTTATCGTCAAACTCCAGGTAGGCTTAAAGGAGAACTATGGGGTCAGTGTTTTTCCCCATAGTTCTCCTTGGGGTAACGGGAGGACACAAACTAGCGTCCTCCCGTTACCCTAAGCTCAGTATACCGCGAGCTACAGCTCGCGGTATACTGAGACGCCGCACCTGGAGCGGATCCCGACTTAGATGACGGGATCCGCCCAGCTGCGTGAGTGACAGCTGGCTCTGCCTATCTAGAGGCAGAGCCAGCTGTACCCGCCCCCTCCCCCGTCCGTTCCGCCAGTCAGCGCTGGCAGATCGGAGAGGGGAATCCAGCCCCTCCCCCTGTCACGGCAGAGAGCCGTGACAGGATCGAGAGGTGAGGGAACCCGGTATGTTTTCTCACTGTCACAGGTCGGCTTAGAACTATGACGTGAGTGGAAATCACTCATGTCATAGTTCTCCTTTAAGCTGCTGCTCCTTCTTTTTTTTTTTTTTTGTTCCTAAGCACTGGGTGGTTTGCTTAGAATTAGTTTACAGTTCTAGCTGTGTGTATTTCAAAGTACCTTAAGCTAACAGAAGATAAATGTACATCTTCACTTCACGCCTCCCTGACTTTTTATGTTCTTGTATTCAGGCTCACAGATATAAACACAGATGCATTTTCAGTGCTGATACACAAAGACACAGGGCATTTCAGAATGGCTTATTTGTGCCTGTGAGTCACCACTCAGGTATTAGAAACATCTGCCAGACAGCACTGGAAACCGTTGAATGACTTCACCATCTATGCAGGATAAAACGGAAATTAGTATAACTTCCCTGAAAGAGTCCTGTTTTACAGATACAGTACAACTCCCAATACATATTAGCATTTAAACACATGTTAAACTGTTTAGGACAGTGTTACATGCAGAATAAAGAACACTTCATAAGTTCAGCAGATAGTAGTGTATAAATGTACGTACAATTTGTTTTGCCAAGATGTTCTTGTGTAGGGCTGAACCCGTAGAGCCAGATACTTTCCAGGGGGATGCACTGACGAGGCCCAGGATATTACTCAGCAGCTGCTCAATCATTCAATCAAGCCCAGGCAAAAGTCTTTTCATTATTTATTTTTTTTATTATTCTTCATGCTCATTATTGGGTATTCTTTTCTAAATCATTTTCACCAGTCAGGAAGCCGGGCGCCGTGTAATGACGCGACGGCCGGATTCCTAATTGGCGCAGAAGCTGGCTTCAGGCTCCCTCATCACCTCGTGACGAGGGAGCCAGCTTCCCAGCCAATCAGGAAGCAGGGCGCCGCGTCATTACACGGCGCCCGGCTTCCTGATTGGCCAGTAAGCCAGCTTCATGCTTTGTCATCACCTAGTGACGAGAGGCATAAAGACGGCTTCCCTGCTAATCGAGAAGCCGGGTGGCGAGTCTGTACACGCCGCCCGGCTTATGAGGAAGCCAGGTGGCGAGTCATTACACACGCCTGGCTTCCTTAATTTGACTTCCGGTACCAGTATCGGCGAGTACTGAAAATATATATCGGTACTCGATACCGAAAAAAACGTTGTATCCCTAGAGTGGTTAGTGGAGCCAACTTTAAAAAAATAAAAAATCCTGCTGGCTCCTGAATTCCATATTAATTTGTCTACCTTTTATCATTGCAGCAGTATACCCTTGTGCACTACCATATACTTCCCTTCCTGTGTTTACTCTTTTATGCTGTTTTTTGTTTCCACATACCTGTTCTTTTTTGCGCCTTTTGCTTTTTTTACAATGTATTCTTTCCTCTTCAATAAAGTCAGTCACATTTATTCATCTTCTCTTTTTTCCCATTTTCTCATTCTGCTACAATGTTACTTTTTTCTTTTATATAGTTATATAGTTAATAATCTTAATACTAGACCCATGTCCCTTAAGTTCAGCTTCTCAATTCCTGCATTCATGGTCCAGAGGAAGACAACTGTACTACTGTTGGCAATTTTGCTTACAGGGGGAGAAAAATGAATTCATTATCCCCCTACTGTCAATGAGCTTATTAAGCGGGATCGGAATATTTTTCTCTCTAGACTCATATTATTGTTGAAAGACAAGTATCCAGTCCTATTACCGTCTTGTTTTCCATTACTCCTTCGTTTGGTAAACCCTCCAAAGATTAACCTTTCTTACTATAAAAAAATTCCTTCCTAAACTGATGAGAAAAAGTGCCCTTCATTTCTGCACCCTTGTCCTATATACTGTAATTGGGATCAAAAGTACATTTGCCAGATGTTAATACTGACCTTGGACTGATGCATTTGATTGTTAGTCACTTTTAAGGTGTCTTTTCTCCACAGTAAATATACCTAATTTTTGTAAACTTTTACTGTAAGCTAGATGTTTTATCCATTTTAATAATTTAGTTCCCGGTCTCTGAACCCTTTACAAAGCTCCTATATCCTTTTTATGTTGTGATTCCCAAACTAGACCCTTTATTCTATATGTGGCCTAGTTTAGTGCTGGTTCATACATGTCAATTGAATTGTGTTTTTCTGCACACCACCACACGTATGGGGTGAACATGGCACATAGAAAACAATTGCAACAAAAATGGTGTGAACAAACCCTTAACATTAAATTTAAGTTGCTGTTTTACTGATCATATTGCCATTTTATCTATATATTCCCTTATTTCTGCATTCTCTCCTTTTGTTCCAGGTTATTATGAGGAACTATATGGAATGCGAAATCTAGATATATTACATCAATAGCATTACATCCAGGCTTAAACTAACCTCTTTATAAAAACTGTCACATAGACCCATATTTGGAAATGTATGCTGATTATTTGTTAAAGTGTTTACTACTTATATATTCTTGTCTATTTTACCTTAAAATACTTTTAAAAAAATGTACACACAACAGAAGTCAGGATTCACGATCTGTAGTTACCCGATTCTACCTATTTACCTTCTACGACTGTATGTCAGTCTCGTCAGACTGTGCCAGTTGAATGAGAGTCTTAAGAAAATAAGATCTGTTGTGCTCTGCAATTATATTTCTTAAGTTGCATTAGCAGTTCTGTATTATCAGGCGTCTTCACCTTAGAATATATCCTTTTTTTTTTTTCAGCAGCCATCTACTTTAATTTCTTCCCTCTCATAGGTTAGTTTTTACCACGGATATGATATGTCGGGTCAAGTGCCACTCTTCAAGCCGTAGACAGTTGGAGTACATTTGGTGTCCTTCGGTGCTTTCTGATGGAAAGCATGCCTTATGAAATGAGGAGATGCCCTCCATACTATGGCTACTTAACCTACAGGGTTATGCACAAAAGGGCGAAGAGTTTGGAGAAGGCAGGAGAAGTAAACGATCTAGGACAACATAGCGGAACTGGAAAGTGAGCTGAATTGGAGAATTTTCCCAAATCACCTATTTTGGCCTAGATTGTTCACTTCTCCTGCCTTCTCCAAACTCTTCACCCTTTTGTGAATAACCCTGCTAAAGTTATGTAAATGAGAACAACTGTGAATTCAACATTTGATTATTTTTTTAGATGATAATCTTTTTAGCAGTTTTATTTCATCCTTTCCAAACACAGCTGATTCCAGTAATAGTCTATTGTTCGAGCTTAAGTCAAATAACAGGGTATTGGAAAGTCACGGAATGTGTTTTACATCATTATAGGTAATGAATGCACACAGCCAACAGATGGATGACCTTTTTGATATTCTCATTAAAAGTGGAGGTAAGATATGTAGTATAACTTCATTATAGTTAATTATTTTCCAATTGCAGTTCACACATATAGTTTATTATTAACTTACTTGACTATATCTACACTTGAAGGCTTTGGAGAGTATTTTGCATATTCCACAGTAATGTATCTTAAAGCAATATGATTGTAAATCAGGGATTCAATTCCAGTGTAAGTAGTGCAGATGTTATTTTTCTGTATTCAGATTATAAGGAAGACAGTTTCTGATTAGTTGCTGTGAATTATGCTTGAAACATTGCTGATGGTTTATTGAATATCTGATGGTAACATTTAATTATGCCATTGGTCAGTTTAGGTAGTGCTTAATTTACACAGTGTCTGAGTGCATTAATGGGAACTGCAGCCAAATATATTTTTTTATTTTCATAGCCTGGGGAAGTTACAACTTCTATCAGGTTTAATGCTGTCTGGATCACAGTTGGGAAAATTTCCCTTAGGTTCCTTTTTCTTGGGCTGATCAGGAGAGGATCTGTGCCTGGATACACTCTTGATCACAGCAGTACGGAGTGGATGTCACCGCTGTGAGATTCATGCTCCTACAGTTTTTTTCCCCTCCATCTTATAACAGAGAAAAAAAATGACAGTTACTGGACTCTGGGGAATCGGGTGTAAAGGGACATGCGTCCGTTTACATCAGATTACCCCTGATCCGGCACGATCCTGTCTGCCGAAACGGATTTCTGATATGTTTGTTTTTCCAGAATTGGCCGGAATCAGAGGTAACCGGGTGTAAATGGACACCCGTCTGCCCATAGACTTACATTAGGCATCCGATCAGGTCTGCTTGAAAAACTGGAAGGCGGACCCCACGGACCAGCTCTGTGAAAGGGCCTTACTCCTTGTTCCAGTGAGGGTGGTTATTGGGACATGAAGCAAGGGGAAATATCCTCTGTGTGGACATATTTAGAACAATAAAAACCGTACAGATGTTCTAACGTTCCCTAACTCAATGAAAAACTACCTTGTCTCTTCTGTTACGTCATGGAATAAATAGTTGCCACATATGAAGTAGAAATCATAAACGATATCAGGATTTTATGTGCAGAATGCTTCAAAGAGTGATAATGGGACCACCTGCACGCCATACAAGACCTTTCAGGATACAGTGGTGCTTGTAGTGACAGCAACAGATGGCACCATGGGAAACCATAGAGTCATAGAAGATCAGTCACCAGCACACACAGAGTTAGAATGTAAGTCTCAGTTCAATTTATTGCAATATCACATAGGTCATATTGAGCCAACATTTTTGGGCCACACAGGGTCCCTTCCCCAGGACAACATAGTCACAGTGTGACATCTCTTCCAAGACTTGCAGAATGCTTCAAATACTTTCTTCTGGACACATCTTTTACTAACTACTCTTTAATATGCAAAGCCACTTTGCAGGTATTTTTACGAACAACCTTAACTGCCTATATAATTGTAAATGTTCCTTCTGTGCCCAATTTCCACTAGTAAAAACATAATTCACAGCTTGTCTAAGTTTTATCATTAAGATTGTCATATTTGGATATTCTGTGCCCAACATTATGAATTTTGGTTTGAGTTATGTCGGCCCCCCCCCCCCATGTAAAGTAAAGGAAATGTTGAAAGAACTTAGAAATTTCTGGCTGACCGTTTTTTAAAATTTAATTTACAGCAGCCATTTTCCCACTAAAGTGAATGCATATCAGGCGCCTGGATCCGGACTTGCAGGTTTTTTTAATAGTCACACTCCCTGAGAGTACACCACTGATAGGAGAGTGACAGATTAGTGTTACAGGCAGGTTGGCTGCTGACTTGAAGACTGGAGCCAAAGTTAAATAAGCAACGGCTGAAGGAAAATTAAACCATGAATTGAGTAGGCACTGCATCCCTCTTTTGTATGTAGAAGAACTCTGCTTATCAGATCATTTCTGTTAACCCCTGGGACGGAAGATTCTGCTGCTAAACCATTTCTGAAAATCCCTTTTCCCTGTATGTCAACATTCGTTCATTTTGCACTAATTGAAAATTAAAAACTAAAATAGTTCAACTGAAAAAAGTCACAAAGGGTAAATAGGACTATTTTTCCTTAACCCTCTACAAATTTTGTACAAACATCTTTAAGGGAAGATAGTGAGACATGTAAAAAAAACACTTGTTTGAAATGTAAGATGGGAAACTTGGTTAATGTCGAGTTAAAATTATGTCTTACTCGGATGTTTAAAACAGTGACAGATTTAGTAAACAGCCCTTGCTTTTAAAGACACTTATCTACATTCATGTATGTAATCAAAAGTTGTCAAGGCCAATTATGACACCAGGGAAAAAAGCCTTACAGCATTCCCATTGGAATGTACAAAATGTATATGCTGCATTGAGGTTTCCTGACTGACAATGGCTGAGCAACCTGCACTAACACCACAGATGCCAACTTATCAAACTTGTCCTGGCAATATCTGGAGATATCTCTGCTTAGGGAGTGGTCAGTTCCAGACCCATTCCCTAGGCAGGGATATTATGCAATGGCTTCAGGAAGAAATAAAGAATAAGAAAATGGTTTCTTCTTGGCCCTGGTGGGTAGCATAAAATAACATTTAAATGTATTGGTTCCATTTTATACCTGTCTACTTTGGGATTCTAAACTACTTACCGGCTTTAATCATCGAATGCCTAGCGTTCAACAATAGTGTGTAAAGTCAGACTGTTTTTGAACAAGGGCAGTAAACAATGATTAACAAGTAATTCTACAAATGATTAGTGAAAGCTAAAATTTATTAAATACATTGCAGTGGACCTAGCTCCAAATATATTATTCAGAGCACCCCCCTGACACTGCTTTTCTCATCAGGACAGTGCCATCTTTGTTCAGGTATTGTCCATGGCCAGCATCTACTTCCTACACTGAGATACCTGCCCGTGCATAGATGAGAACCCTCTGCTCACTGTGATTTTCTACCAGGTTACAGTGTTGTGGTCTTAGTGAGGGGAAAAGGAGTCTGCAGAAATGTTTTCTATTGCCTGCATTGAACTTTTGACATCAACTTAGCCTATGTAGAGTCACTAAACTAGAGTTGGAAGTACTGCTTTTTAATAGTAAGAGGTAGTCCTCTTTTTAAAAATATTTACTTTTGCTTCAGGCAAGAACCAGACAAAAATTAAATTTCATGCAAAAAAATATTTTCATAAACATTCAGGGCAAGTTCACACCATTTTCTGGAACGCACTGCATTGCATTTTGTCACATTTTTTATGCGTTTTTAACACGTTCAGTTTTAGGTCTTGCTGGATGACCTCTGCAAGACCTACAGATAGCCAGGAAAAAAGACAAAACAATGCTTGCACATAAGAGACATGAACTTACCACAGTTGTTATTTTCAGAGCCCGCCAGGAAGCTGGCAGCGCCAATCACAGGCACCGAGACATTTCCCGATCTCTGCAGCTGCGGGCCGCGAAAATGTCTCGGTACCTGTGATTGGCGCTGTCAGCTTCCTGGCGGGCTCGGCACGTGGAGCTGCGAACACGCCCGAGCCAATCCTTAATAGTCAGGAATTGAGAACATGGGTAATAGTACCATATGTCTTTAGGACATTGTCCAGCAAACTGATTTTTGAGAGGGATTGTCCATTTTTGGATTTTCCCTGATGATCACTAATGTACAAAACAATAAGGCCAGTGCTGTGTGTATCTCCACTGTACATATATGATCACAAGCAGTCAGATCTTTCAACCATCATCCCAATAAAAGCATTAGCTTTCTGCCTAAAGTATAATGCTTTACAATGCCTTTAAAACTTTTTAGCCAAAGAAATGTAATCTAAGCAGCCATATGACATTTGAACCTACTTGGACACTGCAGTGTATCAGCATCTTGTCAGAGTTGCTTATGTTCAAATGTTCTTGTCACTCATTTCTTTAAGGAAAGGCAAGCACTACTGCAGACTCTAAGCATGTAATAGATGTGCTTGACTGATGACATAATTTCCCATTCTTATTTGGCACCTAAGGGAGACAGAGCAAGACCTACAGCTTGAGAATCCATTACAATACCCAGTGGTAGAAGCGTAGGCTGATTATTTTTATGGCAAGCGGTCAATTTTCAGCTCTGTTTCATCTTGCTGTCAAAGAATGCTGATGTTAATGAGAGTGCTGAGATTTAAACATTTGATAGCTAGCAGTATGTTTGGATTTCAACCACATCCTTAGCACGGTGCAATTCTCCTTTTTCAGACCACGGTTATGGAAAAAGAAGTGATTAAAAAAGTAAAAGATGATCCATTGTTCTGAGCCCAGATATTTTTCTAATAATGCAGCTTAGCTGACTGTTCCATATACTTATCTAAGGTGCCCCCAAACAATTTGGGTTTTCTATTTACCCCTGCATATCGAAAGAAAAAGAACAGTGCTCACAGCGCATGTATTTATCTTCTATCTTTTATTTACAAATATCCATAGTTAATCTACTGTATGAAAAGCATCTTTTTGAGAAATAAAAGCACCTCTGGTATCAAAATGCCAAGTCCTCCTATTCTTTTGACCACACACCCTATATTGAAATGCCACATTAAACACAAAAAAACCCACACTTTAAGACAATATTAAAAAGTAAAAATACTTATCTTACACCTCGATAAGTATCCCACAAGCTTTGGTATCCTCCGCTTTCCCAGTATCTCAACGAAAGGATGGTGACATCACCCTTGCCAAGGCGACACAGGCAGAAGATGTGGTGTTAGATAATTATACGAATCTCCTAATGTGTGGGGTTTTTGTTTAATGTAGCTTTTTGTATGGGTTGGCAGGTAAGAATGAGGGAACCTCTTTGTATCAGTAATGCTTGGACCTAGAAGCATGGGTTAGACCCCAAAAAGCTTGACCTGAAAAATTAACCAGCGAACATTAAAAATAAAAGTTATCATGGACAGTACTCTACATCATCACTGCAAGCGCACTAATATGGCTAAAGTCACTTTACCTATGAGATTATAATCGTCTTACTGGGTATTCAGAATAGGTTTCCGCTTACTGGACCATTTATAACCTAACACAATATATCCCAATATCAGTCACATACATCACAGGATGAAACACTTGGATGTCTTATCTTTACATCCTCTGTCTACTTCCAACAATGTGTTCCCCATATGCTTATAGCAGTGTTCACCTTCATATAACACTTACATCAACATTAAAAGAATTAAGTGTTCTTAGATTTCTAAAAGTAGACACTGCAACAAGCAAAGTCACTTTAGTGACTGAATTAGCATTCATTAGAATGCAGTGTCAGGCTTCACACAAAGGTGTGCACAATGCATCAGCTCAATCCTCTAAATAAAAAAACATCAGTACTGATCATCTGGCAGTTCTTTTGCAGCAAAAGCAATCACATACTGTGAAACTGCCCTGAAGGAGTCAGTGAGTCACACAGCTGTTAGAATATTATCGTGTACAAATACAGTGCTAGTAGTATGCGTAGCTGACATGTCTGCAAGAACTAGTGTTGCTGAAAGTATAATTTCTGTCATCTCCACATCTTAAGCTGGTCATGCACCGGTAGAGCTTTGTTAATAAATCAAAAACTTGTTCATTTAATTTCCTAATAGTCAATGGGGTCATATTGACTATTGATTAGGACGTAGGACAATGATGGAAATCTTTTCTTGAATAAACAAATTTGAATGGTAAATATTTTAGGAGTTTACAGATGTGTCCCCTGCACTCCTTTAACCCCTTCATGACTGAGGCCCTTTTTTCAATTTTTGCACCCATGTTATATTCCACATTTTAGGCCTGAAAATGACGTAAAACCCCCCAACATTATATATTTTCTGAATGCCAAGACCCTATAGAATAAAATGGTGGTAGTTGAAAATTTTTATGTTGCGCAATATTAGCGCAACTCCTTATTAAACCCCAAAATTTAGTGACAAATTTAATTAAATGCCCCAAAACACAACAAATTACCCATTTTTTTAATGAAATATAAAAGATGAGGTTACAACGAGTAAAACGATACCCAACATGCCCAGTTTACAGATTGCGTGCGACCGTGAAACGGCGAAAAACTGCAGTACCCCAAAAAGTCAATAAAAGACACTTTAAAAGCCCCCACAGGTCATCAATTTAGCGATACCCCAAAATACTGGCCCTAGAATTATTGCTCTCACTCCGGCGTGCGCGGCGATACCCAACATGTGTAGCGCGTTCGTCGTTTTCATGCGTAGGCGCACCCGACGCGTGTTTACGTGGCGACGCGCGTGCTCGCGGGGGCGGGGTACTTTTAAAATTTTTTTTTATTATTATTAGATTTATTTTATTTCATTTTAATTTTAAAAACTGTTTTTTTTTTTTTTTTTACTTTACTTTGACTGCTATCACATGGGGGGGCTTGCAAGCCCCCCCATGTAATAGCAGATGGTGGTGACAGGTCCTCTTTAAGGTGATGCTGGGGGTCCAAAAGACCCTCAGTGTCACCTTTACACTGGAAATAAGCTATTGAAGTGCAGATCGCACTTCAATAGCTTATAGCTGGGCTGCAGGAGCCCAGAACTGACAGCCCAGGGACCGGAAGTGATGCAATCTGCATCGCTCCCGGTCCCATAGAACGGGGAGGGGATCGATGAACGGAAGTTCGTCGACCTCCTCCCCAGCTCCCCGCGGACACAAAGATCGCCGGTCCCGGGCCCGTAGGAGGGGCAACGGAGCCCGGGAAGCACGGCGGGGGTGTCCGGCGGGGGGGGCGGCCCCTTCTTCGGGACGCAGAAGCGATCTGGCGACAGGTAAGTCGCCAGGATCGCTTCTGTTGTAAAGCCGACAGTCGGCTCTACAAGTTTAAACAGAGTCCCGGCGGCAAAAGTCGCCGGGAGTCTGTTTAAACAGCCCCGATGCTGGCGACGTACACTGTACGTCGTCAGTCACGAAGGGGTTAAGCATTTGCAACCAGTAACAAAAGGTAGATGACCACCAGCACTCCAGAGATGTTTCAAATAGTGTTCATTTATTGATATATAGCATCACATATATCAGAATGCCAGCGTTTCAGGGCCACACAGGGTCCCTTCATCAGGGCGACATAGTTGTCACCCTGATGAAGGCACCCTGCGTGGCCCTGAAACGCTGGCATTCTGATATATGTAACGCTGTATATCAATAAATGAACACTATGATTTGAAACAATATCTTTGGAGTGCTGGTGGTCATCTACCTTTTAAATTTTCTTTTGATTTTGAAAATAAATGGAGTTTCCTAAATGTTAATACCAAACAAAATTGTGAATGACATTTATCAAGTTTCTGATGTCATTATTGAGTGTTCTGACAAGATTTTTCATATGAATTTTTATACAAAAATCTACCAGTGTATGGCCAGCTTAATTAATGTAAAAAGTGGTCTCTTGGTAAACACTACTTCTATTTTACCAGGAACACAATAGGTACCTAGCTTTTCTAACACCTTTTAAAGAGGAATTTTACCCATATCTTCAAAAGAACAACAAATGCACCTTTAGAAATGTTTGGTAATGATAATCTACAAACAGATACTTAGATCATTTCAGGCTTTTTAGATTTTTAGCCAAAGGAGGTAAAGGTCCACTTTAATTACCTTGCAACCCCCTCATTTTCCCAGTTCTTCCAACTTCACTTATAAGATGATGCATTCTATGCACACCTCACAGATTCTTTAATGTTATTGCGAAATCTAAACCTTCCCCACACACTCACACACAAAGTTTGACTGCCATAGATTGTCACATCCGTTAAGAGTGCTTATTCTTGCCCCTAGATAACAATCAGATTTCATTCCGCTATAGTCAGTCAAGTACATGAAGGGTTCTGAAATATCTGAAAAGTAGTAAAGAATAAAAGTTCCACGTTGAATAACAGAAAATGGTTTCAGTGCAATGGGACTTTTTTTAAACTTTTAAATGGGCCTTTGTATTTTCTTTTTAGATTTATATCTTCCATGAAACATCTTTTAATGCAGTTTTGGGCTACATTTTGTGTCCAGGGACTAGCGTATATATTCTCTGTTGATTTAGTATGTTCTATATTTCCAGAGGATTAGGCTCCACTTTAAAGCTTTGTTCAGAAATAGACATGATAACAATGCAAGTGCTGTATATGTTCCCCATGACATGCAAAGCAATGACTCCTCCAGTTTGGAAAATCTATTAGCGTTGAATGTTGGTTGTCGGTAATTTATCACCAAAGGGAATACAAGTCTACAAGAGTACAAGCATCAGACTATGAGAAGAGGTTTTATTGTGGAGAAGGATATTGGATGTGGATAAATGTACACATCTGGAAAACAACATAAGTGTTTAATATTATTTCCGCAAAGGTATTTGTGTGTTTGACAAGTGTTAATAGTAGCCACTTATCTAAAGTGTACTGCAGATATTCATGTAATCCACCTGGAAATGTAATAACTGCTGCATGTTGGAATAATAACACCCAATGCAACTTATACTGATTTTGACTTTTTATTTACAGCTATAACATGACTATTATTGTTATGCATTTTTCTGCCCCACCTCCAAAAAATAAATATAAATCCACAAGTAGATCCTAAAATTTTCTAAAAACATAAAATTGGCTTTAGTCCCAGTACATTGGGGTTATGTGCCCCAAGACCCTGGTTAACTCATGCCACATATACTAGTGTTTTTCAGCCCACACTGGATTCTTAATTTTCTAGCAACAATATTACATATAATCCTTACCTATGCCATGGTGCTGGGAGGTTATGGGAGCAGAACAAGAATCCTAGCAAAAAAACTCTTGTTTAAATAGCAGGACAGACAATTGCTGGAGATTGCTGTTGTACAAAATTCTAGGTATTCAGCAGATGGGGTGTATCCTATGAGCAAGATTTGTTTGTTTTGTGATGCAACTATGATAATATGTTAACCTTTGGTAAAAATATTTTTTTTCTTTGTGCTATAGTATGAATAATTGCATGTATTTATATATTTCTTAAGAAAAACCTTCTGTGTGTGTATTCCATTTTCAGAGATTTCCCCTCTTGTGAAAGAAGAGCCTTCACCAATATCAAAGATGCGACCTGTTACGGCCAATGTAACCACCATGCCAGTAAACACAGTGGTATCAAGGCCACCACCACAGATACATGTAGCACCTCCTCTGTCTTTGGAGCCTACAAACAGCCTCTCTATTAGCCTAGAAAGTCAGCTGGAGGCATTCTTAGATGGCACTCTGCCATCAGGAACTAACATTCCTCACCTGGATAGTCATAGTGATGGCAGAGATACATTTTCTCTAATAGATGACCTGAACAATGATCTCCTTCAGCACCACAGCATACTGGACCATGATTCAACACCCATGGAGACCACAGACACAGCATTCACTGCAAACAGCTGTTTGTCTCTAGACCTCCAAGATACAAACCTGGACAACATGGAGTGGCTGGACATTACCATGCCCAATTCAGCCTCTTCTCTTACTCCCTTGAGCTCAACTATCCCAAGTATGTTCTCCACTGACTTTTTGGATACGAATGACTTGCAATTGCAATGGGAATAATTTTCTTCTGTAGCTCTCAGAATTGGATTTTACTTTTAAAAAACATGGGCTGGAAATATGGATGTAGTTGTATAAATTACACAAACAGAACAGAAATCTACAGTCTTTAACATCACTGGATACCCAAATATGAGTGTAATGCCCCACTAGAGAGGGTAGCGATGTTTAAAAAGAAAAAAAGTGACCAGGTAAACAGTAATTGTAGGTCAGATATTCAGATTGGATCCAGAGGGATTCGTGCATTTGAAAAATTATATATATATATTACCTTTGCAACGATGAGTGGATCATTTGTACAGAAATGTAGGAATTAAGTTTTTTGTTTTAAATAAATAACTGCACTTGACTGTTCCTGTGAACAGGCTGAGCCAATAGGAATACATGGCAAAGCGCTGGCTGGTTCAGGGTTCTTATGATAAAAATGTTTGCGGAGTTGAAGCACGCATACCATAATGTGTGACTTGGCTTTATAAATCTCTTGGACAATGTAACCTTAGTGATATATTTTACAAATCGTTTTTTTAGGGAGGAAAAGAAACTACAAAAGTCCACAATTTTAGAAACTGTTGAAATGAAACTTGTAAAATTAAAAGATAACATGGCAGTAACTGTAATTCAATTGCTCAGAAATGTAGAATTCATAAGTGATTGAGCACTACATTTTACAGCTGTTTGTTGAATGAAATCTCACTGGTTCTGTTGATGTTTGCTTTACTTTTTATTTCATTGTTGTTGGTTTTTTTTGTTAACGTTTCATAACAAAGGGATTTTTATGGCCACCACTCCGAAACAAGCTGTAATATAATGTACAAAAATTTATTAAATGATTTTATAAGAATAGCTTGCCTGCTATGGATTGAGCGCACAAGTTTTGCTTATTTTGAAAAGATACCACACACCAAACAAATGATGCTTGGCAAAGTTATTTATATTCTAGTCCAATATCTAGAAATGCATAGCTATGTAGAACAGTCTGGGACAAAAAACATAAGGATATTTTTTGAGAAATTAGAAAGCCATGTAGATAGGATTACGAGTTTCTTAAATTCATGTATGAACAAATGAAGACATAAATACGCAAATCAAAGAATCGTATTTCTGTTGACTAAGAATTGCAATGTAATATATCTGCATGTTAAAGGGGGTAAATACGTATGAAGAATTTTTTTTGTAGCTTAACATTTTACTTTTACAGGCTTTCTTCCTTGCTTTTTCTATCACTTCAGGCATGAGGTGATGAAAGGATACCATTCAATAGTAAGAAGTGGGAATTCATGGTTATAGGAAAGCTAGCTCTTCCAAGTCCACTATCCATTGGGGCAAAGCAGTCCTAAAAAACACATGGCTCCTAACCTTGTATTTTAAAAATGTGTATAAATTCAGGATGTTGGTATAACAATGCTAAACCTCTTTACAAAAAAAAAAAGCCCAAGTCAAGCTACAAACACCTAGTTGCAAAATGGAGGAAACCAGACACTTTATCATAGATGTTTTTGGAATTTTGTGTTAAACTTTTTCAAATTAAAAAATGATATATATACAAATTCTTTTTTCCATAACCTTTCAGGCGTAGTCACACCAGAACACGTGTTACCATGTAATTAAGACCCCATTTCAGCTGACTTGAATGAAAAAAATTCAAGTTAAAGCACCAAAGAATCAGTATGTAGGACTTTTTTACATTACATTGCGTAATATGCCCTGTTGGGGGAAAAAAAGTTTTCATAATGTCTATTTTACGCAAAATTAAGTAAAATACATGAGATCACATCTGGTGTGAGTGAGCCCTTGCTGTCCTGTGAAATGTAGATGAGGTTATCTGGTTCTTTTCTGTGTGTTAAACTATATTGGCAATCCAATATTTTCAAGAGCACTTAACGTTGACTCTTCTTTAACATGTTCTTGCAAAAAAAAGAATCTAAAAAGAAACTTGGCCATCTAGCTAGCAAAGGGGCCAATGTGTTGACAGTTTGTGATTTCAGGAAAATTAATTTACAAATTGGCCTTACTATGCAGCATAGTGTATTTGCTCATCACAAAGTAGGTAATGTATTAAGTCATCTGAAATTGATGCTAGTACATTAATAAATTGATCACGTTAACTGGTAGACTTTTTTTAAACGTTGAGATAGAACGTTGACTTTGCACCATACGTGCACATTAAAAAGAAGAAATTGTGTTCATTCTTGCAGCACCATTTTGCTTTTGATGCTGCAGTCCCATATGGCCTTCAACCCAGTAGAGAGTCTGTGTGGACATCCAGTGCATGTGTGTGTGTACAAAGTCTAAAACCTGCCACTGAAATTTACTTCCCCAAAGATTTATAATATCACTCTTCTTAATCTCCTGCCGAGTTAAATTCATAAAGAGAACAACACTGAATTGGAGTATCCACAATCTTATAACCAACAGGTCTGAATCTAGGAAGACTGGTGCCCACGTTAAGTTCCTATGTCTCCAGTAAAACTTTAAAACATCGGTAGTAAGAAATGGGGACTACTTTATGAGCAGTGAAGCAAAGAATTGATACAGAATTTGAATACTTGCCCCTAGCAAACCTAGTAGTTAGGTTTAATCCCCAAGTGGTAAGATGAACCAGGAAATCCAATTAGCACTTATTAAAAATGATCTCCAGTTTCTAGTTCTTACTGATCCAGTTCTTCACCCACTATAAAAAAAAAAATTATGATTATCCAAAACATCTTACAGCCTTCTACTCTGTGACAACCCCAAATTTGTGCCAAAATGGGAGCTATAGTTTGTATGCCTGCAGGATCACATATTTGTTAGATATACATATACATACGGTGTATGTATGTGTGTGTATATATATA